ATATATATATATAGATATATTATAAGAGATAGGGAGTGTGGACGCTTTTTAGAAACGCGCATAATTCCTAATAGAATAGACAGCTTATTATTAAAGTGTCGTTTAGATTCAACTTTTTTAAAAAGACTGTTATGCATCACTATCAGCTTTCAAATACTGTTGCATAATTTTTTTTCTATAGTTGAATTTCTATTAGATGCATTTTTATTTTTATTTTTTTATCCGCACATTCAAGTTGATAAATAAGAGTAATTAATGCTTTTTTTCACCTGGCCTACCGGAAATCGGAAGCACCTTGACTTCATTAAAAATAACTCTCCTAAATCAGCGTCACCATTACTACGAGTCTAACCGTCATTGTTGATCTAGCGAAAACCGGAATCACGGTAAGATGGTAGCCCATTTTAAGACTTGAGCTCGGTTATATATTTTTGATCATTTTTAAAAAAAAGTAATTTGGCTATGCAGTGAAATAAAGTAGTATTCCGGCGGTCGGTTATATTATAGATTAGAAAACCGATAAAAGACGGTCACGCAAATTAAAAAGTTTGCCGTATCGTTTGAATGACTCACAAAAAGAGCTTTGTCGACTACGTCCACGAAACTTTGAACTTCATCGATTTTTCACCTAATCTCAAAAGCCCCCCCCCCCCCCCCCCCCTTTTTTTTTTTTTTTTTTTTTTTACGCAAATTAAAAAGTTTGCCGTATCGTTTGAATGACTCACAAAAAGAGCTTTGTCGACTACGTCCACGAAACTTTGAACTTCATCGATTTTTCACCTAATCTCAAAAGCCCCCCCCCCCCCCCTTTTTTTTTTTTTTTTTTTTTTTTTTTTTTGTTCTTTTCTTTTTTTTTTTTTTTTTTTTTTTTTTTTTTTTGGGTCCTTCCCTATTATACTATATTTTTTCAATTAAATTTTTACAGTAAGCCTAGTCTAAATAAATACACTGTACAGTTCAGGCACTGAAAAATACCAACCAAGAAGTTAGAGGGAGGTGCTATTTTTAGATTGTCACTTGTGTTGGTTAGGGATTGCACAATCTTGTAACTTGCAATACAAGTGACGCCTAGCTAGTCAAACTCAAACAGTGAATTGGGTTAGGGATAGGCCTAGGAACTGAGACATACTCTTTGACACTTAGCCTAGGCCCTGTGCATATAGTTTTGTAATTATAGTATAGTATAGTGCATTTCAAGTAAAGTAAAAAAGGTAAGTCCATAAAACTCATTATAATAGTCAAAAGTAGCAAGCCAACTTAGTGTAGTGTATCAATATCAACAATATATTTGAATAGCTATTTAATTTAAATGCTTCAACTTTATAGTTGTTTAAAACCTTTTAATTTACTTAAATACACTATAGTAATAGACTATACTGTCTTAGAAACTTAGAGTTAGAGGGGTAAGTGTAGTTAAGGAAGGGCTGAAGTGGGAGATATGTCCCCAGACACAAGATTAGTGGAGGTGCCAAAATGGACTTTGACTTTGATGCCATTGATGGTATTTTTTTTATTGATGAAAAATGAGTTTCAGAGTTTATGGAGGCTTAAAAATGAATATAAAAAGGAATAATGAATATGTCTAAAGTAGGCCCTATACAATAATGGGAAGCGTTATCCACACAGCTCTGTGAATAATTATAATGTTGAGCGTTATCGGCAGACCGAGATCTGCGAATAATGCTGAGCGTTATTGTTAGACAGAAATGTTCCCATAATTACGCACATTTCTAGAAATAATTAGGATCACATTCCAAGTCGGGGTGGGGGTGTAGTTTTAAGTAGTGTAGGATAGATCGATCGTTATTGCGCTGGCCATACACTCACACTTGTAAACGCTGCTTCAATTGCCCCAAGGGAACATTACTTCCCAAAGACTCGCAATGCATCCTACGACGAGCAGGGTTCCAATTAATTTTTGTATGCTTTTTTTGTATTTAGACCCATAGTTACAACAGTGTCAGTATGGCTTTTTGTTTCAATTAACATTTTTTTTACAAGAGCTAAATTTGTTGATATCAATGATATTGATAATGTTTTAAGTACGGTACCGGTATGTTCATTTCATTGTCATCACTAAGTGTTATTTCAACTATTTCTGGAGCGGCATATTGTGTCCCTACTTATTATGATACTTATTAGAAAATAAAATGAAACAAATAAAACGTGACATATTTTTTCAGCTAAACATTAATACACAACTCTGAGATATAAAATATTTGAATAAGTAAGTTATTAATATTTATTTGTTTATTAGAGAAAAAACAAGTGGATGTTAAAGTCTATGAGTGGAATTATACAAAGAAAATTAAACACTCAAAAGAGCTAAAAGTATATCACAATGTACAGTTAGAACAGCTGTATCTGACTTAAACATGGTTTATGCAGCTCATCTGCGTGTCCATGTTGTTTACAGTTTTTTGACGAAACTTGAATGAACATTCTAACAAAATAAATTGAAACTTGTAACAAAAGTAACAAAACTATATGAAAATAATAATAAAACTATGTGAACAGAATAAGAAAGCTATATAAATAACCATTAAATTTTTTTTTTTTTTTTATTTATAAAAATTAGCTTCCCCGACGGGGAATCGAACCTATATTTTCCGGGTGACAGGCGGAGATACTGACCACTACACTCCCGAGGAGATGTTTACATTCGTACTTTGTATTTTATATTCATAATTTAATTTATCACATTCTGCGAATAATGTTGAGCGTTATCGGCAGACCGAAATCTGTGAATAACGGCGAGCGTTATCCGCACAGCTCTGTGAATAATCACTTCGTACAATAATACAATATGAATATGATAAATATCCTGTCCACGATAATTGTCAGGCTTAATACTAATAAATAAAAGAAGTTGCACAGGCATTTGTTTGGGGCTACCTGAACTTGCTTAGAACCTGAATAGCCTATTCCTTAGCTCTAATTGTATATCAAAAACATTAGTCAAGCCTAGCTCTCTTGTGACTGACAAAATTCACTACTGCCCAGCCAGAGAGAAGTAGACCTAAGCATCAGTGTTCCTCACAATGATTAAAAACTGGTGTGTGTAGCTTTAGGCCAGTATTAAATTTTGTCACAGTCACTGATTGACTGCCAAAGTCGGAAATATAGTCGGAAAATTTAACCACTAAGTTATTAAGATAAGTAAGACGCAAACAATTTGTGTAAATAAAACATAATACAAATTGAAATGATACAGCAAATGCCTTCATCAGAACAACAACAAAAATCTATATGAATATAAGTATAAATTAAGTTTACATAAATATTAATTTATACTTACATGAATTTTTCAGCACAGTTCAACCCTTTTAAGATTAGTAAGAGACTTAAGAGTGATGGTAACACTTCCTTGTTCATTTAGCTTGGTATGAAAAAAAGAATGTGTTAAGAGTTTTAAAAGATAGTATGGAATTTGCATTTATTTTCTTTATGATCATAACTTGTAGGTTGGTTATTTTACATTAGGTTGGGTCAGATATCTGAGATAAGCACTTGTCTTAATCTTATACCAGACCAGTTTACTCTTACGATTTTGGCGTACAATGTACGATTTTGAGGTGTTAACATGTATACTGTATGTTTATTTTTTTCTATAAATATAAGGTATTTATTTTCTTTATGATCATAACTTGTAGGTTGGTTATTTTACATTAGGTTGGGTCAGATATCTAAGTTAAGCACTTGTCTTAATCTTATACCAGACCAGTTTACTCTTACGATTTTGGCGTACAATGTACGATTTTGAGGTGTTAACATGTATACTGTATGTTTATTTTTTTCTATAAATATAAGGTATTGAACGATTTTGTGATAATATTGTACGATTTTTAGAGTCTGAGGGTAAACAGGTCAGTTATACATAGGTTTATCATAAGTCCATGTTTGGATGTCATCATTATCATTTCAATTTTCACAACATTTTTTCTGCCATTTTGGTATTCTGTCCCGGTGTTTCAAACACCATTAAATAAAAATTAATTTGTCATGGCGGTGTTAAAATACACAGGGCTAATATTATTGTGAATGTGTCGTTTTGAACTATTGAAAGAAGAAGTTAAAATGTTGTCAAAAATATTAAATAATACCCCGGTATCTATTTTTTTTTAAAAACATATCATTAATTTATGAGTGTTGACAATTCCTTAAACATTTAAACACATCTTAGACTTTTAGAGTATTATTCTGGTTATTATAGCTGTGTTAAGTTTTTATAATATATATATCTAGTTGATAGCTGAAAAAGTCTGACATAGTATAAGAGCCCTTGATGTTGCTCATGTTAAAAAAAGTAAATAATTTTTGTGAAGCCTAATTTGTCATATCATTTCATTTATTCATTTATGATAGTATATATAGCACCTGCTTGACTATGAATTTTAGTTCTGATATTTTAGACAGAGCTAAGCTCTTGGTAGGTATACTTAGTAACATTTTTTAAAATTTAACTTTGGAGATCTATCTATATAATTTAAGCCATAAGGAATAGTTTAAAAAACTTGATAGTATTTATTATTATTGTACAGACTCTGTACTCACTAATTAAATTGAAGATAGAGTGCTAAAAGTACTTAATTCACAAAATACACATTTTGAGTTAATTAAGTTCAAATATTCTTTTTGCCTATAAAATGTGATCATTTTCATATTTTATCTTGTTAAATTAAGGAGCTAAAGCACATTTTATTGTGTTCAAATATCTGCAGTACACTTGGAAAAGGTCACAGTTTTGATTGATTTAGATAAAAATGTGACTTTTAGCACTAGGGTCTTCAATTAGAATAATTTTATTTTTATAAATTTCACTCTTAAAATTTCAGGCAAAAAAATTACATAATGGGGAAATCTAGTAGTAGTTCATCTTCTAGCGGCTCATCCGACGAGGGATGGCGCCACTTGCCAAAACATGAAAAAAAGATGAGAAAGAAATGGAAAAAGCATCATAAAAGGGTATTGAAAGAAAACCTAATACTGTGTCTGTGTGTGTGAAAATTGAAGTATTTAAAGCTATTTAATATTTATAACCTCAACAACGGGGGTCCTTTTTTTTTTTTTTTTTTTTTTTTTTAACCTTTTTTTTTTTTTTTTTTTTTTTTTTTTTTAACCTTTTTTTTTAACTTTCAATTTAAACTACTTACAGAGGTGAAAGTTAAAATATATTTGGAAATGTCTTAACATGTAGATCTGAAAAACTATGAAATTGTTTATTGTTTATTCAATCAATACATTTTGAAAAGGCGTAATATAGTGTTTTATTTAAAAATGTTTCCTTTTTATTTTAATCTGTGCTGTTATTTATTTAAAAATGTATTTTTATTTTCCAGGGAATGATTCCTCATGGAGCATTACCAGTAAGTATTTTAAAATAGTAATAAACTGAGAGTTTTTCATTACCATTCACGTTTATGTGGCTTGGAACCCATTGCATTGTTACCTTACCTTGATCTTGCCCACGTCATCCAAGATTACAACACAGAGTGGGTGTTGCATACTTCGTTATTCAAGATCTCAAGCAGATTCCATTCTAGTGTATTTTTCTGAAGTAATTCTACTAACTATTCTTGTTAACATCTGAACAATGACTAGCTAGCTGTAATACATTATTTTTTTTTAAATTCCCAACAAATTAGGTGTACCTTAAATTTTACCCTATTACATATTTACTACCATATGTGAACGCCAAAACCATAAAATATAACCACATCCCACCCTTTTATTTGATTTTTTCCTATCTTCCATGTATGACTTTTCATTTCTTCTTAATTTATTTTCCTTTAGTAATGATCAATGGGCTTGAAAGCATGTCTAAAGATTTAGTTTGAATCTCTTTAATCTCTTTGGAGTAAAAAGTGCTAATTTATCATGTTAATTGTATAGCAGACCTGTTTACTCTTAAGAATTTGGTGTACAATTATGAGATGTCTTTTATGATTGCACTCCGAGACTTGTCAGATCTACAATTTTAAGAGATCGAGATCAAAATATACATATTCTGTTAGTTTTTCAATTAAAATGAAATTATAATAATTTAAAAGTTAATTTTCTGTTGTTAGTTTTAATTTACATTTGCATTCTACATCCAGCAGTGAATGGATCGAGAAATATGATTAGTTGGGTACCATCTATAATTATATAACATTTGTCCTAAGAGGGTAATAGAGTAGTGTTAATTTAGGAGATGGGGGGAGGGGGGGGGGTTGCTGTTCGGTTCCAAATATTGAATTCTATACAAATTAAAACCACAAGATTTTCTAAATGATTTGGGGGTGGCTGTCTCAGTAGAAAGTACATAACGTATTCAAAAACTCTACAATATTCATCCAGAAATTCTGAATGTCCAAAAACAGCATATTTATTTATATCTGATTATCTCGAATGCTGTAAAAATGTCACACAATTCTTTATAAGAATTATCGTCATAATGTTGCCATGTATTTTCACAAATGAACTTACATGATATACTCAGATAATACTAAGTAGTAGAGATATTACAGTAATATTTACTCCACCGTATGTGCAGCGTGCATGTGACATATATTTTTTGGACTGCGCCAGTGGTTCTAAAAAGACATTTTCTCAGCGCTTATGACAAATTCAGGTTTTCACCAGGCTTTCTGTTTAAATTTTAACAAGTAAACTTCAAAATAACGAATGCATAAACAAAATAAAATAAAGGGTTAGGTAAAAATAAATACAATATGTATGTATGTCTCTAAGCGCCATCGAGTTACTGCAAACAGTAGTTTCTCAAATAAATTACTGTTCGCACCATGACAACAGAAATTGGCACACTGGATTAAAAGTGGAAATTAAATTTATGAAAATTTTGTAATATTTAGCATCGCCCCTGTGAAGAAGCCACAGCAACCCATACAGAAAAATGTGTGGACTAGTAAAATGACTATTTTTAATGCCTCTAGTCTTTAAGAAGTTAATGGGATTTTATAGTTTAAATTCACCGTAAAGGTCCTTTCGAAAGACGATTTTGGTACCTGTTGCTCTTCGACCCTTTCTCATGGCCCTTACCGAGGGGCTATGCAGCTAATATTCTGGAAACCACTGGGCGCGCCAGAGGTAAAAATGCGTGTCACATTTAGTTTAGTAGTGTAATATCATAATTATATAAAGATTGGATTTTGTTGGTTGTTTTATTTTGTTTTTGTGGGTGGGGGGGGGGTTTTGAAAGCTCATCGTCAAAAAATTTTGTATGCAACGGGGGGCGGAGGTTAGAAAATTTTACTTTTTCCGTACGTACTCGTGTTCGTTTGCTTCGGTGCTGTATGACATAATTATTTCTTATGGCTGACCCATAGCGAGAAAACTAGAGAATGCATTCTCAACTATTCTCAACTGGTCCGCGAGCGCAGCAATCTAAGATTTTGACATATTTTATAGGAAGGAGAGGGGGGTGATTTTATAGGAAGGAGAGGGGGGCGCTTTGAAATCTATTTTTAGAACAGACAAAACAGCTGTATGATGTTTAATATCTCCTCTTCCTTTCACCCATTTACAGCTTTTGATGTGACTTTGTGTTTAAACCACATTAAAAATGTTAAATTTCACCAGTAACTTTTTTTTTGTACACTCGTGACAGACTGTGATAGTGTGATCTGCATGTTCACCTAAATATTAATTATATCTATAGCAGATACACATCTGCAAAATCAAATAACCAGAGATAGCAATATAAATGTCAGTCATGTATTTTTTTACCTTCATTTCCTTTTTTTGAGGCAAGTTTAACTTGATCCCGGTAGATGCACGATGCGAGTAATTGCACATTATATATACTCTGTTTTATTTATTTACTATTAATAATAGTATTAAGATGCTGTATTGTACAAGTTTGTGACAATATTGAACGATTAAAGGAGTTTAAGGGTAAACAGGTCTAGTATAGCTATTTCTTTATAAATTAAATATCACACTAAACTAATAGCAAAATAGATTTAAAAAATTATTTTGAAATTAATTTAGTTTTGAACAATACATTAATTTGTAAATATGTAATTTTTAAATGTTATATCAACAGACCTGTTTACCCTCAAACTCTTAAAATCGTACAATATTATCACAAAATCGTTCAATACCTTATATTTATAGAAAAAAATAAACATACAGTGTACATGTTAACACCTCAAAATCGTACATTGTACGCCAAAATCGTAAGAGTAAACAGGTCTGTATCTATGGCATTGTTTTAATTAATGTGTTTATGCAATTTAAAGCCTTGGCAAGGAGGTCCAGCCTGGTGTCCACCACACTCAGGGAAACATGGAAAGAAAGGCAAACATGGACATGGTGCCTATCCAGGTGGTGTTCATGGAGGTTATCCTGCTGGTGGCGTTCATGGGGGTTATCCTGCTGGAGGTGCTCCAGGTTATCCTGCCGGTGGTCATTACCCTGCAGGTGGACAGTATCCACAGGGCCAGTACCAACAGGGCCAGTACCCACAGGGCCAGTACCCACAAGGCCAGTACCCCTCTGCCTACCCTCCTCCCCAGCCTGCTTATCCGGGACAGCCATTGCCTCCAGGATATGGAGGAGTACCTCCACCAGCTCAGTACCCAGCAGGGGGGGTCCCCTATGGCCATGGAGCTGCACCGTCAGGGCCTTTCCAGGGTGAGCCATTTACATTTCTGTATTATTAATTACTGTAACGGTAAGATTTTTTTTTTAAAAATGCTGGTGCTTTTGTTTTTTTTAGATAAAACAAAATTACATTTTTTTACTCATGCAAGCATTTAATTTTTTATGTTAAAGACAATATAGAGTTGTCCTCTGTTTTGATGATTGAATTTCATTTTGTGCTGTATACAAAAACCATTTTTTTTCTCCCTAGTCTTATTTATATTTATTTTGGACTTAATATGTTATCAGTCAATTTTACAATATATAAGTTTTGTGCATTTGTTTCCACAGCTCCACCAGGTGGTGGTTATCCTCAGGGCGGAGGGTATCCTCAACGTAAGTATTAAAATTTATAATCAACCAATAATTTAAAACTTAGACTACTGTCGATTTTGAGTTATTGGAACAGAGCACAGAGGAATAAATGTAATTTTGAAATTTCCCCTTCATTTAATTTGGACATCCTAATGGTTAAGGATAACAGAGTATAGTTATTAATAACATAGCACTATCTTTGTCATAAACTCCTGATGTTGTTTAAAACACATCAAATTATGATGCTATATCCCTCTATATCTATGCAATTAAATGTCTAATATAATCATTGTTTTTACCAATGTGAAGACAAATATCTGTGCTAGGAATGGTATTTAGGCCCCATTGACTTTAGGCAGCATTTATATTTATATGTTAGTAAGCAAACTGAATAAACTGCTTCATTTAGTAATTTATCTTAGAAACTATTTTAGCTTAATCAGACTTATTGGAATTAGGTAAGGTGAAAACCTGATGGAAGGAGAAACAAAATAAAAAATTTCAGCAAAAAACCTTTAAAAAATAAAAACAGTATACCCGGTAATTAAAATTTAAAAGAACTTTGCATGTATCTAGCCATGTGGTTCAAGTTCAAGCTAGAGTGAATTATCATTCTTAAGAAATTTTATTTATTGACAAATGTTTTAACGTAACAGAAGATGGCAGTTAAATTGATGCACCTAGCAACATTCAATTCTAATTTTATTACAAAAATTTGTATTTATTTTGTTTAATTTATATTTACAGATATTTTATTTCTTCTTATCCTCTACAGAATATCCACGTTAGGTGATGTGCTCATTCCACCTGTTATATTGCTCTAACAGAAGTGGTGCATTTCAAAAGTAAAATGGATGCAATAACCCTGCAATTGTGTATGAAACAATAATTTTGTTTTCTATTATCTTTAAAAAAATATTAACTTTTATGCAACGCTTGAACGTTTTAAAGTCTTATTACCAAAAGAATTTATGTTTTAATGTTGTTACTTCCAAATTGAATCCACAATTTTTCTATTTGCCAGTATTTAGTCAGTATAAGTACTGATCTGATCCTAATGATCAGAAAGCATGTGCCATAATTATCTGTCCATGTGGTACTTGGTCAACTACTAAAAGAAAAAAAAATTGATTTGTGCTGTGGTCTAAATAACTTGAAAATTTGATACCTGATCTCAGGTTGCAATTAGGATAGTTAAGAATGCTGTTCAATATATTATTATGTGTGATCTTGTAGACAATCTTGCTTCTTATTCTTTTTTACTTTGTAAGAATATTCCAATGATACATTGGTGTCTACTTTTCTTCATAAGGCAGATGCCATAATTTAACATTCTTTATGGATTTTTAATATTTATTTTTTGTTGTGATTATTAACTTACATATATACATGTAATACAGTTTGATTGCTTTGCATGTCACGTATCATTTTTATTATGCACAGAGATATTTTTGGGTTTGTTTTGGTTTTTGTTAAAAGTAAATTTGCCTATGGTTTAGGTCCACAGAATACATAGAAGTCATAAATGACTGCTCACTGCTATTCAATATATATGAACGTTAACTCTGCTGAATTTAATTTGAAAGAAATCGTGGCATCTTCTTCACATAATACTGTGATATTTTATGATTATCCTTCTTGAAAAGTAAAGGATGTGTTTAGTTGTATGAGGCTTGAGTTTACTGTAAATGTTCTGTCTGTATGTATAATTATTCATCATACACATTTTTATTTCTAATAATTATAAACCTTTTTAAAAAATTAAATAAAGGACAATACACATGAATTGTACTTTTAATTGATTGGTGAAGATTTATTGTAACGTCATGTCTCTGTAGTAAGGCATTTTTATTAACACAAGGACACATAGCAAAAAAATAATTAAAACTCTCAAAGGAAATCGGGTATGAACAGGAGAGAGTTAAGAGCCTGATATAAATTTAATTTAAATCACATTGTCATTTAAAAAAAAGGGCACAATATCAGATAAAATGTGCTGTTTTTTTAGTACATAAGATGCAATTAGGCCTACAATTAATAACAGATTTGAAAAATTGAATCGTGTCATAAGGTAACCCAACTTGTCCCTTAATAAAAACCTACTTAATTACTAAGTGCTCCAGATCTTTCAAAAATTTCATCCGAGTTGTCTAAACAAAACCATCTATAAGAATTACTATCTCTTAATATGACTTTAACGGGTAATGGAAATCGTTGTACTGATGTCCTATCTATCAATCTTATTTAATTCGGGTCCAAAACTTACCAACCCCCACGGCCCCCCCCCCCCCCATATGTTAATACCACTGCCTTGAATATATACTGAGCATTAAAGCATCCCTTGAGGGCGCTCCACAGGAGTGACAGAATGAGATCATGCAGCTATTAAATATCACATGTAATAGTTCGATTTGTATGCATGTTTATGCTGGGTGTGCAAGCGATCTAAACTGAAAAAGTCCCAGGCTTGTGGACTGGATTTCAATCCCCAGCAAACGCCTAGACAAACAATAACACTATCTCAGGTGGATGGGTTAACCCGGGTTGGCTACTTATCTAAGAGAATCAAAACTCGGAATTTAAACCCAAAGATGGAGTCTGTAGGCGGCATGACATTGACACAATGAAAATTTCAGCAACTCCTGGGGCGCTATGGGTGCCAAGCAGTATCATCCACACATATTCCCTTGGTTTATCCAGATGCACAGAGGGAGGTGATTTGCTGTTTAGGGAACAATTTATCCTAAAGAAAAAAATCCAAGGCCTTATGATTTCATACGGTGAAGTCTACACCATCATCACACTGTGATAGAAAGATACCAGGAAAAAATTTTTTTGTCAATTAAACTTAGAAAATGGGAAGTTCATGCATTGCTTCCACCATTGTTTGTTTGGGAGGGTTATTTTTAGTTGCTTAAATTAAAATGTACAATTAATACAGTCTAGTACTTAATAAACAACAGAGTCTGATTTTTTTTATGTGAATATACTGCATTGCATTATATATAAATATTTTGGCAAAATGTATTAACATCCTTTTCCACAAAAGTTAAATAAGTTATTTAATATTATTATGATTAATTACAAGTATAATATAAGCCATTAAACATAGTTTTTCTAGAATCACTACATGATAATATACAAAAAATTTGCTAATGCAGTATGTACATAAAAATCACACTTATCAGTAAAAATATTAAAGACACTATAGTGATGTAAGCTTGCACATACAAGCATTACAACACAAAACATGTCAGCAATGAGGCACAAAACAGTTTGTCATTATTCATTTATCATTTGCAGTTTCCATTATAAATCAGATAATATTCATTAGCAAATGCATAATAGTAAAAGTGAAGAGGAACAGCAGGGACCATGGTAAGGCATTAAAGTAAATAATTCTGTTTGGAATGGTTAGTGTTTCAACTATGGAATGGTTCTACTAGCATTATATATATTTGAACACAAAAAACAATCAGTTTTAATTAAAAACTATTTTTAAAAAACTATGTACCCGGGGTAATGTAACCTACTCAGACCAAAAAATGAGAGGCATTTCATTGCATACGAATAAATAATTGAACCATTTTTGGGAAAGGTCTTGATTGGACTGAACTCTACAAATACTTGATATCTGAATGAATTGAAATGCTGGAATTATTGTTCAATTAACCAATAATTTGCAATATTTGTTTTGTCCAAATTTCCAGCAGTATTTTCAAGTTGAAGATGGCATAACAAGCATTATAGTTTATAGATGGTTATATGATTCCCTAACTTTTAAAATCACTAAATTCTGTGCACAAAAAATATGCTTAATTTATATTCTGTATTTTTAATCACCAATGAGTAATGTTTTAAATAATAAATTACTTCAATGTAAACAGATAACAAAAAATAAAACATCAACTGGGTTTACTTCCTCAACACAATGAAAGCATTCAGCAAATAACATTGTTATTAATCAGCACTTTAGTGGATGATTTAATCAATCATCCTTAAAAAAAGGTGTAAACTGTTTCAGTACTATATCCTCAAGCTTGTAATCCTTTGTTGGTGGGGCAATTTGCTTTTAAATTAGCCTGTAAATTTATTTGCAGCAATGATTCCATGATTCTTGTCATAATTAACATGTTGATTTTGTAGGTAAAACTGACTCATATTGCAAAAATTAGTGTAAGTACTGTAACTATGCTGAGTTCAAAGAGATTACATATAATTGTAAGTTATTTGACATTTTTATCACAGTATAATGTATGCATCCTCAGAGCAATGGAAAAACATTTTTTCTCATGATACATCAAATAAAAAAGGCAGTAAGTAACAGTACAGTGAAAACTGTGGGTATGTGAGAACAAGCTCTCATGTCCTTTTTTCAGAAACCTCAGCAGAAAGGACACGTTTAACTGCATAATGGTGTAAATGTGCTGCTTTGACTGACCTGGATCTGCACTGACTGGGAAAAAAAGCATAGTTTCTTCTAATTGGGAAGACAATTTTACTATGTACAGTAATATTTGTTAAGTTGATAGTCAACAAACAATAATTTTATGTACAAAATATCTACATTAATCCCAATGTAAAATTTCCATGATGATAAAAAAAACTAAAAAAATGTTGATCATAAATGTAAAAATATTTTTAAAAAGAAATTTCTGTGTATCTTTAACCATGGTAAATACACATAAAAGTGACCAGCAAATTAATTAAATTTTCTATCAAATCAACAGAAAATGAGATGTCAAGATATTTAAAAAGAATGAACTTGTCTTTAGCAGCAAGTTAACCAAGTAAATACTCAAACAGTAACATCTTTCTTAACATATTTTTTTTTTAACAAAACTGTATATTTGCAATATGCCAACAAACTTTCAATCATTGAACTGTAGATTTCATTTCAAGGATTAAAGGCATAAAGTTCATCAAAAGGCAACATGTGAATGGATGGAGAAAATGTAAACTCATTACAAAACTGCTTACAATGCTTAACAAAATAACTAGGGTGTGTCATTATTAGTCCAATCCGTAGGTATATGATAACATTAGATACATAATTGCAAGTTGTGGGAACGACAGATTATGCTGACTGGCATTATTAAACTGTGAACTAACACGGGAAAAAAAAAATCAATTAAGACAGAAAAGTTTACAATTATATGTACATTATTGATAACCTTGAAAGTTTACTATTAAACATTCAAGATCGACCACAACTGTGTTAATACATTTACCAGCAAAATGTAATTGTAAAAAAACAGTAGCGGTACTCATGAGGTTGTTCTTGAGTTTGAAAACTATATAAAATTGTTCAATCCTGATACATGGTGTAAGAAAGTGTATTTCATCAATTAAAGGATTAATTAACTAGAATACTTGGGATTTTCCAACAAAATTGAACCATATTTTACTAGTGGCTCTGCTTCTTGAAAACTGCAGAGAACAAAAAAAAATTTTAAGAAAACATTGATAGACGTATAAAACATTTACAAGAAATTGAACACTTTAAAGTATATTATTTATCAGGTCTGTAAAGTAAGTTTTAAATAACCAACTTTTGATGTGTACTGCATAAGGTAAATACTGCTGAATATTTATATTTTATGTTAATTTTTTTTTCTAGAATCATGATATTTTGACTACTCTATATACATGCTCATTACATACCAGTAGTCAATTTTAGAAAATGATAAGGATAATATGGGTTTACATTATAGTAGTGTAAAGTCATCTAAACAAAATATATTTAGTTATTAACATCCCTCCACAGAAAGTTGTTTTTAAATACTTTTGCACACATTTATCTCCTGTATCTCCTATCTGATGGTCGTTCCACTCTTCTCTCAGGCCGCCTGCTGGCTGTGGGTGACAATGTGTGGACCACACGAGGCTCAGCAGGCTGTGGGGCAGGACCAAAGCTTGGTGAATGGGCTTTACACATGAGCACTCCTGAGATGACAGGAATGCTTGCACCAGTAAAAGACATGGCAAATCCCCAGGAGTAGTAGGCTCCTTTAGACACTATATCAGCAGTCATGATCATGAAGACAATGATGGCCAAGAAACTGAGGAAACCTGGACAGAGCAAGGAATCTTCAAAATGTTGATACAACCTTTAATTCTTACGCAAAGACTAAGTGCATTAATATTAAAACTCATATCAGAAAAATTTGCTTGAGAAAATTTATGAATCCCCATACATAAACTCAATGTTTCAAAGTTTTCTCCTTGATATTAGGAGTTTAAATAATGATTCACAGATAAAATATTCAAAGTTAAGATCAGATAGATTAATTTTTTTAAATGCTTAATATCACATAAGTGCTCTCTCCTTCAACTTATAATTTTTATTTAAAAAATGTGGATCGTTCACCTGCAATAAACGCCAAATCTTCTGGAGTCTCACTGTCCTTATGAAGTAACTGCCTTAGCCTTACAACACGAATAGTGCGAAGCCATCTCCTCGGTGTAAAATTCTGAAGAATGGCCATTACCAATGCAACCATGTAGAATGGCAGAGCTATCGTTTGGAAAATGACCACAGCCAGGAACCAATCTGTAAGTGTTATGTACTTTTGTAACAATCACATTAAATTCTGTATTATTTTAAAAAAATATATGTTCCAACTCACTTTTGAAAAACATAGGTACGTAGTATAAAGATTTTTTAAGAAGAATCTTCTAACTTATCAGTCAAATTACTTTTAATTTAATAACCAATGTATAAGTATACTCTTAATAAAGAAAGGGAAGAGAAATTTCTGACCAATTTTGTGTTACTTTATAGCATATTTAAAGTTTTAATATATTTTAATACCATCAACAACTTGATTTCCTAGAATATCATTGCTTGAACACTTGTAGTCTACACACATTTCCCAGAGACCAAAAGAGCCATCAACTTCAGTGGCATTTTCTCCTCTCCTAGTAAACCAGAGCCAATCAGGTGCAACAAATCCAATCAAAAAAGGGCATATCCCAACAATAAGGGAGACTAAACATGCCTTGTATGGTACACCTCGTTGACTCCAGTTTCTGTCCATCTGGTAGAAATAAAGTGGGGACAAACAAATTTGTTTAAATTAATTGAGGATTATTCAAGTTTTAAAGAACTATTGTTTGCATTTTCAACAACTAAAACAAAACAAAAGTCAATTATTCTCTCTGTGGATTTTACATAGGCACAAGGCATAAATTAAGAAAGGAGAAATTAAAATTTAAGGAGATGCAACAAAGTGTAGGTAATTATTTTCACTAATTCCTGCAAGAGAAATAACAGAGACAAACTCTCAACATTTCAAAGCAACAAATAAAATCATGACAGGAATTTTGTGTAGACAAAGAACAGATTAAAGCAGCGTCATGATCCAGGAATTCGTTTTTTTTTAACATCCCAATTAGTTGTTTGCTAAAACTCAGGAATGTTCTGGTGAAATGACTTACATTACTAAATTTTAGTGGATAACGCTAGTGTGAATTATCACCCAGTGGTTAGATGTTTGGATTCAAATCAATCACAGAGGAATGTATCATTATTCATATCCACCTCCATGTTATTCAAAATAATTCTACAACCAATTACATTAAAATGAAACAAGCATATTTATTTACATTAAATTTACATAGAAATCACAATCTTAAAAGTATGAAAATAATTGCTTATACTTATAGGGATGCCTTGAATCAACTTTTGCATATAATTTTACAATCTAGGTTCTTATATTGGCCTCCCATAATAATTTAATATTTCATCATCATCCTTGCTTTGTAGTAAGATAGATTTTTTCTGACTTTTTACAACTTATTTTATAAATATTAAACAATTGATGATCTGGGTTGATCTATAAATACACAAGGTCAATTAAATGTTTGAAGTGGGGCCTCTTCTTAGCGCCTGCAAAAGTTCTCAGAGCAGGGACGGATGTGGACTTCCCAGCTGTACATTGTGGAATAGACTTTCCAGCTGTACATTGTAGGATAGCCTTTCCAGCTGTACATTCTGGGATGGATTTCACAGCAGTAGATTGTGGGTGAGGTGTCCTCAAAACTCCTGGGATGCAGGCTCACAGTCTGGTTGGTGGGTGTTTAGTGCTGGGCAAACTCCTTAGGAATCAGGCCTGGAGGCCCCAAGTAGTTTTATTAGCTATAGAGGCCATCCATAAATGGGTACACACATTCAGGTAGGGTGGGAAAAGGGAGGGAGGGGGTTATGTATTTGTGATGAGGGTAGGTTTATGGTGATGGGGGAAATGTCCAAAATAGCATGATTCTTGTTATGGATAGCACCTGTGATTATTTCATTAATTTCTGCAAGTCTTCCAGTAATGTACAAAGGTAAAACTTTATATGTGAATGTAAACACATTGTTTGTATCACTTTTGAAAATTCATCTATAAACACAAAGGAGTTTAAATTGGAAGAAAACACTGACTATTCCACACTCCAAAAACCACTTAGCTTTCAAGATGTCACATTAAAGTAAAATGTCTTAGCCTGCTTCTGCAATTACTACGATAAACACACCACAAACGCTCATCTAGACTACATGACAAACTTGAATAATTTGAAAAACGATTGGATTCTAAATGATGATTCACTTGAAATATAAATGCTGCTTTGGAATTTGAATGCTCAACCTGTTCTTCGTGTTTTTTCTATGTATTCATTTCATCAGCGTTCAGGCCACCCTTAAGCTTTGTCGTTCAGTTCTTTGTAGAAAGCTGCAGAGAAAACATTTCATCTGAATTACACTACATTAATATCTGATCTACGTACTAAATTTGGGATGCCTAAATCGACTGTACTATTTTGAAAAATAAAGAAGCTACCACAGCAGCTGATGTTTGTGTCTATGAGATCAAAAAGAAAGTAGGAGTCAAGCAGGAGATGGGAAAAAAATCGTCTTTAAATGGATTAAAGGTGGTCTTTAAGGCCAGTAGGAGGTGGTTCAAGAACTTTAAGTAAAAGGTTTCGGATCCATAGATTTTGTGGGACCCAGGAGCGGAATAATCCAGTTTCTATTATTTTAAGGGAAAAAACTGACTTGGAACCCAAACAATTTGGAACTCAAACGGAGCTCTGAAATGGATTAAGTTTGGATTCCAAGGCCCCACTGTACTCTGCACTCAGTCTGGCTCTGACCTTGCTTTTTTTCTCAGGTACACTGGGTTTTTATAGCCTGTGTGTTTACCTAATTCTATTTCAACATGGCACGGTGATTGGTATCCATCTTTTCTTATTGCCACCAATAACAAATTGTTTTCACTTTACCATTTAACAATATCAATACTAATACTAGAGCTAGTTACTTATTTTTTACTTTTATAAGTGTGCTCATTAAGCTTGTAAATTAATTAAATATATCCTTACAATTTACCTGTCTCAAATGTAAAAAAACCCAGCAGTAAAGACATTAAACAAATTTTCTCGAAAAGATATATTTTCCATTGCAAAAAGAATTAGGAATAAATGTAGCTTGTTTTGTTTTAAAAAAGACTGTTAGAGATTTAATCATTGTCCACGTAGTGGATGAAAATCTGTCAGAGGATGATGTAGCCTCAGTGAACGATCCTAGCTCGGAGCTTCAACTAAAGCTAAAACAAATGAAGCTAAAAAAAAAGAAAAATAGTTCAAGCAAATGGAGGTAGATGCCCATGAAGAACTAAAAATAAAAATAAAATTAAAAGAAATGTAAATTATGAGTAACCACAGTGCCGTGGAAAATAGACCAGTCAATGTTGTGATGCAATTAAATTTGCAAAGTTAATCCCTGTATTTTTTCAAATCTTTGGTCTACCTCATTGCAACCAGTTTTGTCTGGTCGGGCGCCTAAAGTTTTTGTGTCCTTGGATGCTGGACAGCAGGGGGGGCTGTAAGCTTGTAAAGTCATTAAAACTCAAGTATTATGAATGTGTCCCCGAAACGTACCGTAAAAAGTTTAGGGAGTTGTTGAAACAAGATGGTCAAACTCATGTTGAGTTTCTGCAAGAAAAGGAATGACTCCTGGAAAAGTGGCTTATGCAATGAACATCAACACAGACTTCAGTTAATTTAAGATCCTCATACTGATAGAAGAGTTCAAGCACTGTTTGCATCTAGACGTACATGCAAATATTGCAGACTGTGGCAAAGATGGTCTGCAAAAAAGGCGGCAGTTTTGGCTGATGACTTCACTATCTCGCATCAATTCTCCAAGAGTCGGTTTGACACAAGATTGATTTATCAGAGCCAAACGCTCACTGAACACTGATTTCAACAATGACAACCCCATAAACAAAAAATTGCACCCGAAACAATAGCAAATGCTTCACTGTGCCTCGATTTAACACAGTGCACTATAAAAAATCATTCTTCCCATGCACAATAATTGCTTGGAACCACCTCAACAATGCCGCTGTGGACTCAACATCGGTCGAAAGCTTCAAGGCTGCCCTGGCATCTGCTAAGAGCTATTAGAATAGCAACATCGCTTCCCCAACCGTTGCACAGATGCCAGTATATGGATCCAGCAACGAACACTACCAGAACCAGAACCATACAGCAACAATATCAACTTATAAACTTATAGCATACCTCAACAAAGATCACACAAGTCTGGCACAAAAGAATCAAATCAAGGGACATCTGTATCTATTGTAAAAGGAAGGTCGTAAATGGGATGATAGCTAGAAACTGAAGAAGAAAAATGAGAAGGCCACGCATCCTGGTCTTCGCTTGTACCGTACATCTCGTCATACATCTGGAAACATATTTTTCAAAATCCAAAAGTTTATACTCTCTCTAGATGTCCATACAAACTTCAAAGAGGTTTGTCATAACTCATAAAAGAGTTTTATTCTGAACATTATGGCTAGTTTTACTGACTCCAGCAAGGTTCCTGCTTTGTCTGTTAGTTTTATGAGCTCGTCACCAAGATCCTCTTGATGCCAAGAAGACGTTCTACCAAGGAACTGAGTGCAAGTCATGAATCTACCAAGAGTTTTAATTCTTCTTCCCTCGCTACATGTTCTCAAGACTGCGACAAGAGTTTTCCTACCAAGCTCCAAACTTCTACATCAGAAACTACTTTATGCCCTTCTTATTGGAAGGATTTATGTCACTGCCAGGTGATTATTCCAGTCTACGACCTATCAAAATATTACAAGACACAGTTGCTTTACAGTTCTTTCTACTTTAGGGTATACTTCCTTTGTCTGAAACTGGAAGCGATATTCAAACAATGTTGGGTTGCAATGATGTACCTTAACATCTTAACAAACTCAAGTCATGTCTAGTCTACAGACCTGTGGTTGTGGGAGTCCGACCAACGTTACCATTCAACTGCCTCTCTTTGCTTCTAGGAAATGACTTAGCTGGTGGGAAGGTGATAGCCGAACCCATCGTTACTCATAAACCTTGTTTGACTTAATCTCAAGTTGAATATCCAGAGATATATCCAGCATATGCTGTTACAATGATCATGAGTTCAAAGATCTCAGAAAAAGATATTTTTTCAAAAGCTAAAACGGTCAATCCTGATGTTGATTTTTCATTTTACGCAAGTCTCAAAGAAGAGTAAAATTAATAATCATAAGTCATAAATGATAAGACACCAACTCATATGCAAATTATCAAAGAGCAGAAGAGCGATCTAAAAATTGCAAAACAGATACTAAATGATTATGATTATGAAGACAAAGGGTTGCCTTCAAGCTGTGTGAATGAAATAGTAGAACATGGTAACATGGTCTGTGGAAGCTTGAATCAAAACAGGACTCGATAAGATGTGAACGTTTCAAACAGACTCAGAGCAAGATTTCTTAATGTTGGCTCAAGTGGTAAATTAAGAAATTACCTCTCTAGACTCTAGGCTAGGAGTCAGGAGTCTTCTTAGGTTAAGAATTTTTGCCTGATTATGATTATTAACTTATTTAAGATTTAAATTTGTAGTCTAATAATATTTTATTATTTAATAATTAATCCTATACTATAAATAATTTTTAATTAAGTTATTTTTTATTGATCAGATAGTCTGAGATTTGAGATAGAACTAAGAAAGTGTCTCGTAGTCGTAGTCCGTAGTAGGGGTATCTGGTATTGTAACTGTTAACAATTCAATAATAATATTAATAAATATATAATTGAAATTGCTAATTCTATATTTTCTTCACTTCAGACATGTTTGGAATATATATCATGTTGTTTCTTAAATGATTAAACAGAGAAACTTACAGCTTTTGAAAGATGTAGGCACAAATAATAGGAAACAGGAACTACATGGACATAGGGAAATAAATAGAAGATCTCTAATTGAAGTCAACAAGTAGTTATGGTTCCCATAATACCGAGACACAAGATATATTCCGAGATAACGAGGACTTGTACATAAATTGACTATCCATTTCATAAGTACAGGATATCTAAAAGTAAAGAAATAATTATGGTCAAAATTAACATTAAATAGTTTATATTTATTAAGGTCGGGGGGAGGAATTATAAGATTAAAGAAAAAATTTCCCATGGGCGTATACAAACTTGTGTAATTTCCCCCATGACATGATGAAGAGTGAAGTACTTTCGGTATTATTTTCGTCGTCGTTCAGATTCAAAGCAAAATGTAACAAATATTGTACAAAATATAACCAATATTTTTTTCCAATTACACTGAACAAAGGAATGAGTAAGAAAGACTGGAATGTGTGGGCAAGAGGCAAAAGGCATAACTAGGGTGACGCAAAATGGAACACGTGTCCTACCCGACCCTCGGCCTCGGCTCAACTTAGAGGTGCTTAAAATAGATCACATTGTCTTGAAAAATATGATTTCTCACTCTGCGGCTAAATTCCAGACTACAGAAACCCCACCCAGAGAGGCCTATATACTCGTGTGTGTGTGTGGATATGAAAGTATGGAAACTGCACACACACAAAAAGAAAGGGTATGAAAGAAACAGGAAAGAAAAGTGTTTTTGTGCAAAAAGACAGCGTAAGACATAGTATGGGACATAAAGCCATTGTAAGACATAGTTTTGGACATAAAGGCAATGTAAGATGTATTTTGAGGCATAAACAGGGCCGGCATCAGACTATTTTGCACACTTGGCAAGACGAGCTACTAGCGCTCCCACCCAATCCACAACACCCCCCCCTTTTTTTTTGTGTGCCTGGACCTCAGAGTGGTCACGTGACTTTAGAAGGTCCTCTACACTTTTCCGTACTGGTTTAATTTTCCCCCTCCAACACACAACATTACTTTGGGCCCCTTAATAAATATACGAGGCCCCCTCCAGCAGCAGGGCCTACGCGACGGCACTGCTGGGATTGGTCAATTGGTATAGCCCTAGTTGCCAAACCGACTAGCATAGCTCTCTCTCTCTCTTTCTCTCTCTCTCTCTCGCTCTCTCTCTCTCTCTCTCTCTCTCTATCTCTCTAATCTCTCTCTAATCTCTCTCTAATCTCTCTCTAATCTCTCTCTAATCTCTCTCTAATCTCTCTCTCTCTATCTCTCTCTCTAATCTCTCTCTAATCTCTCTCTCTCTAATATAATCCATCCATCCATCCATCCATCCTTCCTTCCAGCTATCTATCTATCCATCTATCCATCCATCCATCCATCCATCCATCCATCCATCCATCCATCCTTCCTTCCTTCCTTCCAGCTATCCATCCATTCATCCATCCATCCATCCATCCATCCATCCATCCAACCTTCCTTCCTTCCTTCCAGCTATCCATCAATCCATCCATCCATCCATCCATCCATCCATCCATCCATCCATCCATCCATCCATCCATCCATCCATCTATCTATCTATCTATCTATCTATCTATCTATCTATCTATCTATCTATCTATTTCTTTTTTTTATTGATGAAGCAACGTTTGGCTTTTTTGTGTTCAAAACGATATAGTTCCCATATATCAATTGTAACATTGGGACTATGCATGGGGGCAGGGTCGTCTTTACAGCAAAGAGGGGGGGGGGGCTGGGCAAAGAAACTCCCTCTCTCTCTCTCTCTCTCTCTCTCTCTCTGTGTCTATCACTATAGAAATCACTATACACTCAGGGCCGTGAGAGGAGGGAGGCGAGAGGGCCAAGTAGCCCTGGCGCCAAAATCAGGGGGCGCTAAAACCGCCTTAGGATAGGCCTGTAATAGTGAATTAAACGATAAATAGAATTCAAAAGAATATATACATGTAACATTAAACAACTCAACAAGCAAAATCAATGTTCAGGGAGAATATGCAAAGGAATTTCAGATTAGACAAGATCTTACACAAGGAGACTCGCTGTCTTGTAGGCTATGTAACCTAACATTGGAGAGAATTAGAAGAAACATACATCTTGACATCCCAGGAACAATAACAAGATAATTTCTGAGGGAAACCCAAGACCAACAACCAATGGGCACTAGGGGTCGCAAAACTGGTCCCTTTTGCCAAAACCGGTATTTTCGATATTGAAGTTTACCAATACCGGAATCCCGGTATTTTCGCTATTTATAGAATTTTTAGTTTAGATTCAAGATCAAAGGTTAGGATTTATCAATGAATTAAAACATTAAGAAAAAAGATCATATTTTAATATTTAATAAGCTTTTAACAATAACACAAGTGTTTAACTTCAGACTTTAATCCAAAGAAAAAAAATAATATTCTTAACTTTTGAAATTTAAAAAGTTTTATTAATCAAATATTAAAATACATGGTATTGTTTTAATCTTTGTTCAAATTTAATTAATGAAATCGTAAAAATGACCAAGTGTATAATGTTTGGTCTCTTAACTTTGACCGCAAATGGTTACAAAATTAACCTGATGAAGAGAACACCCGCTCTGACTCCACGCTGGTCGGAGGAATAGACTTAAGATATCAAACGCAATTTCTAGATATTTTCCTCTTGAACCGCCATTCTTAAAGCCATGTCTATTGATACCAATATATCAATGTCTCCATCCGTTGGTCTGGGAGTATTATCCATAGCCTGAAGTTTCTTTTGTGTTTCAAATTCTAATTGTCTTTTAAGCGGCGGTGTATCTTCAAGTTTATCCTTCTCAGATCCAAGATGTTTAATTTCATTGATCATAGATATTTCCAACGAGGAAGACGCTGTCTGACCAGCCTTTTGAATATCCACGATATGTTTGCGCATCTGGTCGCAATCTGGCCTTAGAAATACGTCCGAGTAGTCACTGGAATGTGCAGACTTTGAATGAGAGTGTAGGCCTGATGTTGTACCTTCCAATGTAAGTATCTTCTTACATCCAATACATTTAGCTGAATATTGTCCGTAGCTTTCAAGACATAAAACCAAACTGATGTCTTTGTTTCCGATAGTTTCAAATGCTTTTCAAATTTAGGTTTATTTTTTTTCAGGGTCCCCCATTTTTTTCTATCAACCTGAAGGGAAAATTAATCATTAAGAAAAAATTATTAATTCAATCAAATTGGTTTGACGTGTACACATTTTTTTTAATGTTTAAATTTTCATGTAAATGTTTGGCTAAAATAATCACAACGTCATGATTCTTGACACATAAGAGTACACAGATCTTTGAACTTGAGACATTGGTGTGAGGGATTTGCACATCTCATAAAGTATTGATATGTCTTGCTTTAACTACGACGGGGAAACTATGAAAAAAAATATTTTTTTAAAAATGAAAATGAAATCCCGGGATTATCGGAAATCCCGGTTTTCAAAAATCCAATTCCGGTATTTTCGAACATCAATTATGATCCGATATTCCGGTATTTTCGAATTTCGGGATCCCGGATTGCAACCCCTAATGAGCACTCTCTACTCTACAATTAATCCCTTCAGTATCTTGCATATAGGCCTACTAACATGGGCGCCCGCAGATAGGGGCAAGGTGGGGCACTTGCTCCCCCCCCCCCCTGGATTGATTGGATAAAAAATTTTTAGACGAAAATAGACAAAACATTTATTAAAGTAAAGAGAAAATAAAGAGAAAGTAACTAAGCTGATGTCCTGTCCGTTCGTTCACCATATAAATACGCTGCATTAAATTAAAACTATATTAAAACATTACTAAAAAATGTTTGCCACCCCCCCCCTGGAAAGTTAATCGATTTTTTTTTTGCCCCCCCCCCCCCGAGAGTTTTCTGTGGGCGTCCATGCCTACTAATGACATAGCATAATTAGGGAAAAGTACTAACGGCACATCAAAAGCCTATATTGAATTAGAAGACGCATCACGACAAGCAGGTCGTCAACAACCAAAAAACAAAATACATGACTATATGAAGAGAAGAACAGACATAAAAAGCCATTAAAATTAGAAACTACACTTTTGAAAAAATTAATACATTCAAATAATTAGAAACGAAAGAAACAAAATATTAAAAGAAATAAAAGAAATAAAAGAAAGAATATCGCCCGGAAACAGGGCATACTTCAGAAAATACTCAAAAGTAAAAGCAAGAAAAACAAATAAAACTATTTATTAAACTACAATCAGACCAGTTGTAACATACGCAAGTGAAACTTGAACCATAACAAAAATGGCATGGGAGAGAAAAGTTCTCAGGAAAATATACGGACCAACAAAGGATGAATACGGATGGAGAATACGAACCAACCAGGAATTGCACAGCATATATCAGGATCCCACGCTTATAATAGCAGAAATAAAAATGGTAGGCTACGTCGAGCATGCAGGACATTTAGAAAGAATGCCAAATGACCGAGGAGTGAAGGGGGTATATCACCAAAAAAAAAAAAAAAAAAAACAAAAAAAAAAAAAAAACAAAAAAGAAAACAAAAAAACAGAAGTAAACGGCTCAAAGGAAGGCAGAACTAGGCTTAGAAGAATGGATGATGTGGAAAAGATCAACAGCAGCTGGGAATCAAAGCATGAAAAAGAAAAGCGTTAGTTAGGTCTGAGCGAAAGAAAGTAATGGGCTGTAGCGCCATAGGGATGGATGGAACCGCATTTGGGATTTTTTTTTTTACAAAATTTTTGGTAAGAATCTTATTTAGCGAAGTTATCGGGAATTTTATTTCGTGAAATCAGCGCCATCATATTTACTTTCTTATTCCCCTTGAAAAACAGGAATATAATATGTTGGGGTGGGTCTAAACTTTAAAAGAGTGTGTTGTAATCTGCAACGAGTCTATGTGCCAAGTTTCAGCTCAATCGGTTGACGGGAAGTGGGTTGATCCAAAGATTTTGTTAGCCAGCCACCCATGAACAACAGTGAAGTTAATATAAAGGATTTTAAAAAAGTAGAAGGGAAATATTTACAAAAGGCGTCATATATTTATTAAAATGTAATGTATCTGAAGGAAACTGAAACAGCATGAATTTC